AGACCAGGTTTCACAGGTTAGTATCTAGTCATTTCCGTCAAGAACAGGTCGCCCGAACTCGACCTATATAGAGCTTCCCTTCTTAGGAAAATTGCGCCCTCTCTTGATCTCGTTTGGTCCCCGCTTATTCAGAACGGTGATAGTCACATTGGGAACTAATAGAATAACCGGTGTGACAGTTCGATATGTAGTAGTTGAATGTAATCCTCCTTTAGCGGAAGCACATTTTAATCGGTTTAAAAGAGCCATGTTGGTCGGGAGTGTCCATTCTACTGGTAGCCTCAACGCAACCTGAAAGTGTGCATTTCATTCTAGTTAGTGAACTAGCGAAGTGCATTTCCGACAAAAGGGTTCACTCTAGCAAATAAATTCTCATAGACACCAGTGCTTCATCCCTGTACTTCAAAATTTTTTTAAATAATCTCAACTCTCACAGGTGTTCAGGCTGCACAGAAAAATGATTAATAAGTTGTCTTTCATTTTCCTTTCAATATATAGTTGGTTGACCAATGAGTTTTTGAAACATTCCCACCCACAGTAGACCACACCGCGGAGTCCACACAGTACGTGGAGTATCAAGTTCGTAAGTGTGACGCCACTTCAGTTTAAACCACGCCCACTGCACAAGATACACGACTATCGCAGGTACGTTAGTTCGCGGTCAATTGTCGTTATTTTTTCTTTTGATTTTACGGGTCAAGTCACCCTGAAAGACTCTTCTACAAAACTTTTCAGCCTGAAAAGCCTGAATTTAACATACTTTTATGTATTTTGTGTCTTGACTCCTTACTTTCAATAGTCTGATCGTATTAAGAATTGAAGCTGACACACACAGCGTCGTTTTCAAACGCGGAATTGCGCAGATCGATGCTAAAAGCGTCGTATTGGAATCCCTCTATTGCATTCAAATCGCTCAGAATTAGAAGCTGCAAGTCCAGGCCAGAGTGTCGGTGCAATAAACCTCTTCAAATCTCTTCAAATCCCCCAATTTCATGTTCTAACAATATTATTATCTGAGCCTGGCGGACGTATTTCCAGGCTATTTATGTGGATGTATCCTAAAAGAGCCTTCGTTGCTAAAAAAATTGCGTCCTTTCTTGGCCCTGCACGGGGCTCATAATAAACATCGCATTTTCGGGGACCTGCACTTCCTTTCAAACTTTTGGTTTATTTTCCGTCACATTCCGTTTGTCTTGAGTCAATCAACACAAATTACAAAGTACGAGAAAATAAGTCCTCACAATAAAAAGGCATGCATTTGAGCTCTTTAAATGTTTTGAATATACAAATCATTGTGCATTTCTGTTTTTAAATAATGTGTTTCATATCAACTTCCATATTAAGAACTTAAGTAAGACAAAGTTATGATTATTCGGTTTTTATTTACATTGAAGTTATTTTCAAGTAAAATAACTTGACACGAGACAGAATTAAAACTTCATAGTTCTCTGAAATCATTTCACATTGAATAACCATAACGACGTTGAACAAACATTGAGCTAAATATAAAGCGGTTGCACAGGTTGTACAATTATGTTGTTTCAGGTTGGGCTTATGATGAATGCTTCTGGTGCGGTCGTTTTGTGCTTACAAATACCTGTTCAATGTTTGGGGCGACGACGTTCACAAAAAAGCAACGTATGAAGTTTAAACTGCCTGCAGTTCAAGGGAGGGATTCATTTACATGTAGTCGTTTGGAGAAGGCGTGTCCACCATTATAACATCCACACGTAAGTAAATAAGTGAAATTTGTTGAATACTGTTGACTCTGAATGGACAGCGTCTTGGTATTGAACGACTCGGCATGTAATTGTGTTGGTAGCAAGATTAATTCGCCTCTAGAATGCTGTGCATGGCTGGGTATTATGTTTGGACTCAAAGAATCATTGCCCGGTAATGGCAGTTTGCAGGATTCAAGATGGCTGCCGTGTTGATCCCGAAGGGATCCATCCTAAGTTAGACGCGTAGCATACCCGCCGAGTGGAAAACCTTTCGCCCGTTGAGGGGCTGGGGCGGCCGGTAGTTGTTGACAATCGGAATGTCTGGAGAACTGCCAACGCGGTTCGACACAAGTGAACGGAAGACGTTCAGCTGGAAAAGGAGGGGGAAAGGAAAGCTGTATATTAGTGGGAATCCTGACATGGACAACGAAGCATATATTCTTCTTTCGTTTCTGGACCTGGCACGCCAGGGCAAATGGTCGGGCTCCAGTGACACTTGCATAACAATTACTTGAATCTGCATTACAGTGGAGTCAGGAGCTCATTTCACCACCCCTGCCATTGAAAAAAAAACTGTTGTGATTTCACACTATTGTGTCAGTTACGGAATTAGAAATAAAACGTTACATAATCTTTCTACTGGAAACGGCATGTTTGGGATAGAAAATAGTGGTACAGCCGAGGATAAGACAGGTGGACATAGTTCTACATGTTCTTCAAACTTTTATTTTTCCGGAGTCCACCAAAGCGTGCAAGCATTGACGCAGGGGAAGTCGGCTGAAGGGAAATTACCTGATCTTGTGATATTCTGATCGGCATTTTGAAAACGGTCCACACCACAACCTCGTTACACGTCGGCGTTGTGAGCGATCCACGGTACCGGAAATAAGGCTGCATGATGCTGGTGCTTGGGAACAAGTTGGAGATCGGGAAGGGAGTGGCAAGATTGATACTGTTGCCTGGAATGCAAATACCAACAGGAAAATTAACAGACTCCGAACGAGCATGAGCATGCGTTCCTTATCTAAGACTGAAAACGCCTCTCGTACGTTTGGAGTCCGGCAATGAATAAAGGCGACATTCTTAAGATGTTTTAGACGTTGTTAGAAATCACTCTGTTCACTTGAGTGAACATTCAGCAAGAGAATTTGAGCTAGTTACTGCACTTTAATTAACATTCATCGGGAATTACTCCAAATACAAAAATGAGACACTACCACTGAAAGGTAAGGTCGTTCATCTGTGTAGGGAAGGAAACATGCTTATAAATTGGCTGTGTACTTTATGTTGACGAATGATGAAGTTCGGTCATTCTTAGCAGAGGTGGACTTACCATCGTATTTCGTCTTCGAAAGAGCTTCCAAGAATGGAACAAATCCCGGGTTGTCTGAATCCTGAATCTGAGTGTGGAAGGTTGAAAAATATGTTGTGTGACTTCATTTCCAATCCAGTATTGCATGAGACTTTACAGATAGGACAATCAGTGTGTAGGTTCGGCACTTTGTAAGAATGGCTCCCTTCCGATGGGGAGAATGAGACGAAAGGAATTAGATAGGTCTTTCGGGATCACTCAGCGGGTAGACCAGGATGACATTGGACTTACCTCTAGAAAAAATCCTAGCACTGCCAGTCCGTCAACCTTGTACGCAGCCTCGCTTACGGTGGAAAATCTCGTGTCATAAGTCACAAGGTGCATCTAATATGGAAGCGAAGAAACGTTGATGAAAATGGGCTTTTAGAATGTGTCAGAATCAACTAACTTAGGCGCGGCTAGGATCTCATATATGGGAAGTTGCTGTCGGGTGCTTAAATCGCGTGGGTGCGGTGGGGATATATCCGCAATGGATAACGGAGTGGGGGATAAATCCGCTAACGGAGTGGGGGTTGTATTCTGCACTCCACCATGTTCTTACGATTTGTTGACACCAGTTTCATCCTTTTTTTTTACAGTGGTTTCACTGAATAATAAAAATGTAAATTTCTGTACCGTTTTTTTCCAATTTCGCTGTTTTTTATCTCTTTAAAACTGAATCGTGCTTTTTTATCATAAATTGAATTTAATTTGAAATATATTCGTTTAAAAATGTTCATTGGTTTTACACACAAGGCCCTGGAGTTTGTTTGGCGTCCGGGTTTTTAAAATAAATATGAGCCGGGACTTTTTACTTATTGTTTTTATTTTCAAGACAGCCACCTTTTCTTTTATTCTCAACAACAAATTAGTGTTCCTGCAAGGTTTGGGAAATAGAAAAATGAAACTTGTTGGACAAGAAAACTGCAAATGCTTAAAGTACTTTTTAAGTTTGTTTATAGTCTGTAAAGCACGGTTTCACAAGAAGTAAAAACACGACAGCCGTTCCTATGGGTAGCGTGTAGAATTTTCAATCCCGTGGTCAAGCAGTCGGACACAGCCATGTACACCTGTACAGACATGCGTGAGGATTTCACAGCCGACTTCGTGACGTGAAAAAAAAACCCCGAGCGACACAGTCGAAAGCTAGAAGTTCTTGCACACAAAATTTTGGGGGGCGTCTGACATTGTGTTTTTCGTGTAATCTTGCCTGTGTTAAAAATGTGTTTTTTGCCTGTGTTTTTTATTTCGTCTGATACTTTCGGATCGGTGGAGACGTTTGGGTGGCTATCAATCGATTTCCAGGTTGATTTTTATTACTGCATGGGCAAAGCATCAATTTTGTTCGTGAAAAAAAAGCTTCATGCAATACGGGCGATTCACAATAGTGCGCCTCCAAGAGTTTGCAACGCGTTCACGATTAACAGTGCGCGTAATCTGTCGACCCTTTCCAAACGTGCGTTGGGTCGACAGATTTCGCGCATTGTGATTGGTCAATGTGTTACAAACTCTTGGAGGCGCACTATTGTGAAACGCCTGTATTATTGCATAGGCCTCTTAAGATTCTTCATCTGAAATTCTCGGTGTATATATATACATATATAATAATACCTAAACCCCCAGTCTATGAAACAATCCGAGTTTACATTGCCTCAAGCCATTTTCCAGAGAAAAAAATCTTCGATTCTCAAGCAAAAATGATGCGTTGTATTGGGAGCATTTTTTTATCTCGAGTTGGCGAGGCGTGCTTAAGGAGCCCAGAGCACGTAGCCTAAAGTTATGACTCCAGTTTTGAAAGCTTCACCAATAACTCTACAACTTTTTGGTGTGGTCGCTTTACCTCTGCAGGGAAACTCATTCCGTCAATGGTGTGCTCCGAACCTTGGTTGTCGGTACTGCCCCAGTGGAAATGGATCCCAGCTGCGCGGTACCGTCGACCGGGTAGCCCGCCCCCAGACATCAAGTAGTCGCCGGTTAATTTGATCTGGGCTGCAAAGCAGGATCAGTCAATATCGTCACGCAAAGGTGAGTGAAATCTTGAAATGAAAGGTGTTTTGGGTATTGGTGTCCCCTCGAAATTTGGAAAAGTACACGGCATTTGTACACAAGACATCATTACTTTGCTTTCCGTTCCCCCCTTGAAAGAAGTCTTTGCAACCTCGGCGCTCCCTGATATTTTTCACCTTACAGTTCTGCGACTACTTTTGGGTGGGGCGGAAATTCAATTTGGTAGCACATCGCTATACAGCAAGCGTGACGCTACTAGACAATCATCAAATATAACAGCTCGCACGTGTTAGTAATTCACTGGCTTTAAAAATAGACATCAAGCGGAAGTTGATTTTATTCCGCGTGAAGGGTCCCGTTCAGAGTGACTGACTCAGCTGGGTTCTATTTTGATAGATTGCTTTGACCATTTTTTTTAAATGACGATAATTGTTAAGAACAAAACACCCCAAACTAGCTGCCCAAAAGTACGAAATACACCAATGCAGTATTTTAAATGAAAACAGAAAGTACCGGTTAAGAGCACAGTAATTTGAGTCACTGAAGTTGCTTGATAGCAATCCATAACGGATTAATTTCTGTGTTACTATGCTGTGTATCAAAATGAAACATCGCCCGTAGGATGGTGTAAGATCCAGTTCCAAAAACGCTCATAGGTTATAGAGGTGATGATCTTGCCGTTCGGGCACGAGAAAAGAAATGTCGAATTCAGAGGAAATTCTCTCAAACCCGGCCGTCGTTGAGTAAGTGTGAAGCGACGAGGATATACCCGAGAAGCCGTGCCAACACCCGTCTTATTTGTAGCTTGTATCACTCGTACGTCACAAACACTTTTACGTGCCGTCAGATTGTAGCTTCACAGCTCTTACCACTGAGGCCGCCGTTCTGCACGGTGATCTTCGCCCCTCTCGGCGGGGTGGTACCAAACCCGATCAGGTCAAAGGAGGCAGGGGTCATTTTGATCGCAGTACGCGGCGTAATGTTGATCGGTGACTGGGCAAGCCCAGAACAGTAAAGCGGGAAGATCTTCGGCCAGTAGTCGGTACCTAGACGGGTGGGAGGACAAAATCGAAAACAGAGAAAACGGCATCGTCAAAGACATAATGTAGGCCGTCTCACACTAGGCGAGAATTGATGTCACATGCTGTAGTGAAATTTTCCCGTCACTTTGCGACGTTGCAAAGCGAACATTTGCCGTAAAGTCCCCCAAAATGAGTATGAATCTGGCCTAAGGCTTGACAGTGGTCCAACGACTTCTAAGTTTACACGAACGCTGAACTTCTTGTTGAAACGATTGAACCACGTGCTTAATCCAAGACTTTCGGTAGTGTAGTTGAAGTTGTAAAATTCAACGTTGACTGTGTAAATCTTCATAATATCAACTTACCTGGCTTTGTTTCCGGGTAACCCCATGGTACTGTATCTGAAATGTAAACATTAATAGACAATGTTATTTCATGCATCACAAAACAGAAACTTTATTAATTTAGTACACTGACTTGCGCTGGGGTGAGGACACAGAACAAAAGGTTTATACGAGGGAACAGAAACGCGGTTGAGTATCTAAGTCCAAGTCCTCGGTCGTTCGCAGAAATTTAAAAGCTTCTCATGTTTCATATTGGACTTGTCAAGACAAGGCACATGCCCAGACAACAGGACCTATAGTATCAGACCTGTTCGGACAAGAAGCAGCAAATCAAGCTCAGTGAGCGGTACTGGTGATAAGTTACAAGTCCACAAAATACCAGTAATATCAGGCTGTTCGTGCACTTTCATCTAATGAAGCGAAGAACTGAAATTGCTGACAATAATGAATATTAATGATGCAGTGATAACAATGATTCCACGAGGTGAGAGATGAAACTAATGTTCGATTTCATGAGGCAATGTCTCTCACTCGGCATTTCACCTGTCACCTCATGAAATTATTCTTCCCGTTGCATGAGTGTGAAACATTCATTGTTTTATACAATACCTGCATAAATTCTCTTCTTTTAAGAGAACAAAATAGGTCCCGCACACGCGTACGCACTAACGTCCGTCATTTTGCGAAATGGATTGCTGGGGTACTGGTTTCCGTCCCTACATTTTCCTCTTTCTAACTTGGAATCGGATATATAAAATGAGGAAGGGGAACAGTCAAGGAAAAGGAGATTCTATGCAATGGGTACCAGTACCGCTACAGGTGTTGTGTAATGGTGACCATTTTGATACTTACGGACAAATGGAATGATAGCACATAATCCTGAGACGAACAATAGCAATTGCATCGTTAGGCTGTGCCAGACTCCTCCAAAAATCCTGTTGCTTGATATGCTGATGGGGGGGCTGTCGATGAATAAGATCACTGACTAGATTCGTCGGGTTTTTATACGGTAGCCAGTCCCCCTCCCCCCTGCTCTGGCCTAAATCCGGTTGGATTTCCGTAGCGCATCACGCGTCCACAAAACCCTGGAAGCCTGCCGAGCATCAGCGTGGCTCGCCCGTGAGCTCTTAAAAATAGAATAGGCTCCTGATTGGCTGGTTGCTGTGTCGGTTCTCTCCTCATGCGCAGCTTGGCGTGGATTTTTCCTGAGAGGGAAATAGGCGTCTAGCTTAACAAGACATGAGTCATCTTGTCCACGTACAGAGGGCGGTCTTGTCAATTTGCATTAATGAACACCTCGACCTATGCAACTGAGCCAAAGAGAGGTGATCATGAAAAGGTATCAGCTGCCCTTGATGGATATTTAACATTTTATTATTGGCCGGAAATCGAGGGTGATCTGGCCCATGACAAAAATAGCTGATGAGAGTGAGTCATGCAGGCTTAAAGCCAATCCCTCAGAAAGAACTCATGTCAAAGGACCTTTTTCTGGAAACTTCCTCAAGAGTTTCTTAACTACCCTGTTTTCATTTCAGAAGTGTGCCATGTCAACTTTATACCTACTAAAGATCCCCCTTTTACCTTGCGACTGCATATATATGCAGAATCTTCGTTATCATAATTTATTTAGCATTATGCATATACTTTTTAAACGGCCGGGAACAGTCATTGACCAAAATGGCGGTTTTGAGTCAATTCAGTTTTGCACTTAGCTACCCTTTAAAGGAAAACTTTATTTAGAACAATTTCCGAAACGATGATCTAATTTCCCTCGTGAGAAGGGATAGAGTGTACATGTAGATGTGCATTTCTTGACCCCTGATGGACTTTACAACTTTGAATATTTTTTATAATGTCCTTGAAATTGGGTAAGCAATAAAAACTAATTGAAAATAGTAACATAATTAGGGAGTGAGAAATGTGTTTTAATATGTGCAAAGGGTTAATGTTTCCCTGTGATGAATTGGCTTATACTATGCAATGGATTTTGAAACCTGCGTGTGCCTGCGTATGCGCATGCCTTTAAAGGTCTAGCATGTTTTCCTTCTAACTATCAGTTACTCGTTTCAATGTTTCTGGATTGCAAGTTTTGAGCAAGGATTCTCCCCTTCAGGGACCATGTCAAAATAAGAACTGGCACTTTCGAGATTTTGAATAAGATCCCTGATAACAGGTAGCCGAGTTACAGACAATACGTAACTCCCGGAGTGATCCTGGTATCAATCAAAAGTGGAGAGAAAGAAAAAAACAGAAAGAAAAAAACAAAAACAAAAAAACGAGGGCAATAAAATAATTTGTGATGAAAGATGTCCGTGCTTTGTAGGCTTATCCCCCTGCTGCAACTTGGACTGATGGAAATGGGATATCTTAAAGACTTTCCAGATCAATCATGTCCTGGATCTTTATCACAATAGGAAAGCTCTCACATGAAATAACAATTGAGTTTGTTCATCCCTTGTCTCCCTAATAAAAGATTTTCCTATATTCTCCATTTTAAAAATATTTGTTTGATTGGATTGTTTTTCGGTTGAAAACTGAAACATGAACACTATCCCTGAATCTTCGCCATTGAGTCACAGCCCACTGTGTGCCTGTTGACTCAACAGTAGCACGGAAGTACCAAAGGGCAACTGCAGGAGTAGTGTTCGCTATGCATTTAATTTGCCTGTAACAGTTATTCACACCCGTGCTGCCGATTTTAAAAATCATTAAAACGGTTGAGGTCCTGGTCTTTTGTTTGATGTGGATTGATAGAAGAAAATTGTCTCAGGTTTGATCGTGTTTGAGGCAATTTCCAACTTTCCTGTAACAATTACACATTGTATAACGGTGTGTTTACGGCCGTTAGCATTATTGTCTAGTTTTCGTGCAGTGTCCTAATTGACGGGCGTTGACGGCAAGTTAACCATCCAACCGAAATAAGCCGCACCTGTTATTGTTTTGTTGACAAGCGACAGCTTGCGTGTGGTGGTTTCCTTTCGCAGAAAAGTGTTGATCTTTCTGACAGCATTGCTATCCTAACTTTGTGCAAATACAGCTGCATATTTTAGCTTTATACGATACATGTAAACTAAAAAGGATTCAACTGTTTAATTATTGAAAAAGAAGAGGAAGATTTGTGTTTTTCACTCTTTCACAACATCAGAAGTGGACATTGTTAGGAAACCTCAATACTCTTCTTTCCTTCTTTAAATCTCGAAAACTTCACTAGTCATGCGACAAGGCTACTTTGTTCCATTCTGTCATTTGCTGAAGCGTTAAACTTATGTTACCTTTGTGGCCATGATTAATCCCAATTAACCGCGTTTCCGCTTCTGTTAGTGACAATATCGCCTCAGTCGAAATATGAGGCAAAATCAGCAAAGGCTATTATAAGAAGAAAAACTTAAAATAGACCAGCCAAATATACAGTCCGGGAAATGACATTTAGCCGGGGTCAAATGGAATGACGTCACGTGGTAGCTGGCATACACGTACAACACACCTACACGTACATGTATGTAGGTTGGTAGGTTGTGTGTCAATAAACTGTTATACTGTTGTTCAACCCTTTTCAAGAAGATTTTGTATCAGCCTGGGTTTTGGATGAGAGAAAATTTCATAATGTCCGTACGTAAGCATGGCCAGGAGTAATGAGTAATACCTTGCCATGATCATAGAGAAGCGAAATGTAAGTGCGGCGTCTCTTTGGATTCAAAATAAGTTTCTCTGAGAAGCAAAGTCTGATTGTAAAATTTTGCCACTCGTTTGTTCAATGGACGTAATGGTCTTTGGCTTAAAGGATTTTTCCAATTAAGAGATCTGTCTTGGGGTCTTGAAGTGACGCAAATCATTGCGATAAACTTTAAATCAAGACAAGCTTATTTAGGAAAAAGTTATTACTAAGTAGGTTCTCCAAAGTCATCTTTTCGAAACGAGATATGAAATTAAAGCTTAAAATGTCCATCGAGGCAGACATCGATCTTTGCATCGATAGTGGTTTGCCATCAAGAAGGTCTGTCTAAATTGTTAAGTTAAGGACGCCAAATCAACGAAGACACGCAGATGGAGTGAAAACAGGGGTAAGATGTTCTTGTTCTTATGTATGATGTTACCAAGCGTGTTATATCACACTGACTCATAAGTTCAGCGCTCTCACAGAACTTGTTCAAGTGACTCTAACCCTTCTTTAATAATTCTTGACGTCTAAATAACCCAAAATCTAATGTCTAAATTGAATATTTCAAATTCCCAATTCCATACCCCTGAACGCAAGGCCGGTATGCGATTGCGCTGCGAGGACTTCGCCTTAAATTACACCATGAGACGGTAATAGTGAAGAAGGGATCGAAATCCATGGATAAAACATCCAAGAGTCGCAACACGACTGCTACGTAACAGCCATGCATGCATCGTTATGAGAAGGCACACAATGTGCTCTGAACGGGAAACCTCCCTGGAAAGATGGTAAAAACTTACTTAAAAATCACTATTTAGTGACACTTTAGGAGCTTAATATTCAGGGATACAGTGATAGACACAGTGGCATATTAGATTCAGAAAGTAAAGCTTCTGCTAATCTGCTATTTTAGAATGATAAGTTCTGGGAATGGCGTAATTCAATGCACAAGGTACTTTATGGCATCCTTACTGAAAAAAGTAGACTTCCAGGGCTCGCCGCACTGTCTTTGCATGAGTTATTTTACAAGACGTTGGTCAGTGGGTCAAGTAATCACACGGCTACCCCCCAAGCTCGCTTTTCTACAAATATAACATAACGAATACAGTTCTTACGCGAAGGAACATCAGAATTAAAGTAAATGGAATGGAACTGGAAAGGACACCAAAAACAAAGAATACCCTGACAAACACATGGATAAGTGGAAACCAAAGTCGTTGTTTTTTTTTAGTTTATTTGAAGTATCCATTTAAAAATCGCTGTCTACGTGGCAAACTTTCAACTCAAAAAATTATCAAATACATGCGGTAAGATTCGGTTAAGTCCAGTTCTGAAACTTGACAAAATGAGCGGTACCATCCAGGAAGAAGGCAAAATGTCCGCCATTAAGCGATCAAAATGTTCCTCACCGTTTGCCAAGGGAAATGTGCAGCCTGGGAAAAGCTTTTAGCCAAATGACTCACAACAGTCTACAACTAGAGCTAATGTGCTTCAGGAAGCACGGGTATATCAGCCGTGAACAGCTGATGTTCATGTGGAAATGTTGAAGGTACACATACTGGCAAGTGCGGCTTAAATGGGCTAAAGAATATTAGAGCAGAGATTTTTGTGCATAAACTGATGGCTGCGGAGGTCTTTATGTCATAGGGGCCTCTTAGCAGAAATGACAAGGTCGTCCAAGTCTAGTGTTCAAGCAAGGTGAACATGGCTAGCTGGCTGGACGGATATTGCAGTTCGTATTGCAGAGGCCTACGCAAATCGTGTATAGCCTGCTTCGGGAAACGGGCGTTGCACAGAATTCTCTACGTACCCCCCCAACTCAGGGCCTTTTATTCAAGTTTCTCTTGTGTATTACATTAGATTTAACAAAGAAAAGAAATCAAAACACTGTCAATTCACATTAAACATTAATCAATTAAACAGCAAAGAAAAAAGGTCTCATTTAGTACTGAATTTAACAGAATTTCCGTTACATGTGAAAATAAATCTGTTTATACCATAATATCTTTTTAAATCGTCTTTAAAAATGATGGTTTACTTTCGTCCATTTTCATCTTACAAATATGGAAGCGGCAAAGCAAAAGAATTAAATTGAGGAGTTATTAGAAATTGTTATTCGAAAGCAGATCAATGGTCAGGGTATTTTTAAGCCAATCACCAATCTGATTCAGAAAAGAGGTAGAAAACTCACAAGTACAAAACAGATGCATCAAGCTTTCACTCTCAGCTTGGCCAAAAAAGCGTAAGTCATAATCTCCTTTCGAGTTTTATACAAATAAGATTTAACGGCCGAGATTCTGCGAGTAGGTCTATATTGAAACCATCGCAATATTGTGTCTCATATTAATGGAAAGGGCAAACTACATAACTCCAACCAATAAGAGGAAGATTACAAGCCAGCTTCATTCCCATCTATCAATAAACCTTATGGACAA